TCATTACACGGGTGCAAACATTGTCTACACAAGCATAATACATGGAAGTACTATGAAAACACGAGCTGGGGCATATACGTAAGTTTGTAAACCTTTAAAGGCTGGAATCTGGCCCGGCGCAAGCAACTTTATATCATATTTAGTTCGAGTAATGCCTGAAAAGCTAATGCGATTTCAAGTCACATTAAGTTCAAGTGTTGTCAGAGAAGCTAATTATGGAATAATCGTTGCAATTTTTTTCAAAACATCGTGACATAAACAAGAGATGGCGCTACGTGGTTCGATTCGCTAAATAAAACCAGGGCCCGGCACGAGGTTGTCAAATGACAAGCTGGAATTCGTTTTCGGCAAAAAAAGCAAAGGGGATATCGTTTTTGCGGGGTCCGGGGCAAAGCCCCGAAAAATGGCAGCTTATGCCCTCTGCTTATCTTAAAGGCAGTGTCTCACCAAAATTTAGTTGCCGAGTTTTTTGCTTTTGCAGGCCTGTCGGACCCTGTCTAGCACTGTATGGGCCTAAAATCGCACGAAGTTCCCAAAAACCCCGTTTTCTGGAGGCCCCGCGGAAGCAACGTAGACGAGTTGTACCTTCCAACTTCAGCCTCAACCACAGTGGCGGCAACACAGGGGAGGTGGATGCCAAGTGGAGGGACATGTTCAAACGCGTAAGGGGGGAGACCGAAGGAGTCGTCCGCGCGTACCAAGTCGCTCTCCGCGTACCACTTTGAGCGAATTTTCTTCAGCGTGGAGGGGGTCAAATTGAGTGGGACTTGTTGCAATGGCTTATTTAGAGGTCCCTATAATAGAATATGTGAAAATCCGCGCGACCTCAACTTTGGTGAGACACTGCCTTTAACATGTTATGTGCCTCGACAGGCGAAGACTGGAGTTCGCGCGCGTCAAACCGCGCCGTCGCTAATGGCCGCACGCGCGTCGCTCAACCGCTGCTATTTGTAACAGCATACATGACTAGTTCCCAATGTATGTCTCACACAATGTCCAGGTTTCAAGACAAGAGGACATGTGAGATAGTTTGAGATATTGCTATAAAAGTATTCCAGGTGTGCAAGTCTACACTTTACAAATCACGTCATGAATTCAGGTCGTCTCATTAAATCATTGCTGTTATTTTTCGATCTATCGTAAAGCACGTGAAATATATATATAGGCAATCTTTTTTAATTTTCCATTAATCTTGTTTTTAAACTACTTAATCGAGTGGTCACAAAATAATCGTTGAAATCGTGTGGACATGACGCACTTTCTTTTCCGTTAGTCGAGCAGCTCTGTTGCGTCCCTCGCATTACGGTCGTCTCATAAAATCCAGCCCAAGCGCTAAAAAGCAGCACGTTAAAGGATCCTTCCGTCGCTTAACCTTTTGGAGTGTTTTAGATGGTCGGTTCAAAAAAAAATAGATGCCTAGTACTAGTAAAATTACGGTATTATCACTTCAGCAATTTCTCAAAAGTTTCACTTTGAACTTCAAAAGGGCTTTTATACAGGCGGATAGAGTAGTAAGGCGCGCAATGTAGTGCATTTTTTTGGCATTGCGAGCCGGATTTGTAGAATTTCTCAAACCATTATTCAGTGCATTCCAGCCTCAATTTAAACAAAACTCTATAAAACGTCGAGCGAAAAGCAAATCGAGTGTCATTTCAAGCTTTCTTTTTAGTTTCTAAGGAGTTTTTTTATTTGTGTGGATATCTTTGAAAAAATTGAATAGTTGTTTTCTTCGAGGCACCACTGTAGCTTTATTCACCATTTGAAAAATGTGGTATACGGAGATTTTGTAGTCTTTCTGCGATCCTTTATTCTTTAATCACCTCAAGAAAGACTACATATATTGCTCTGGTTACATGATACAAGTTGAAATGCGCAAATTTGACAACCAAACATATCTATCAACCAGTGGCGGTCCACGATTTCCGTCCAGGGGGAAGGGCGGGGGGGGGGGGGGCACTCCGAAAACCTTTGGGTGCTTCTAAAAATTTTTGCGGGGGCTAACCCCTGAAATCTAGAAAAGGATGCGTGGCTGTCGCCACTACCCCGGAAATTTTTTTTACAATTTTGAAAAATTTTGAAAATCTAAAGAATAGTCAATCAAAAGCACATTTTCATAACTCATGTAAGTAAGTTCCACAAATTTCGCGACCCAGGGGGGGGGGCCTCCCTTGGACCGCCACTGCTATCATTACTATGTTGGAGCTCTGTTATCTTAAGATGGGGGCGCTCCCTTATCCTGTGTGGGCAGCTAGAAAACGCGGCTATGCAGCAGCCCTCGAAAGAGGCAACGGCGCTAACATGGGGCCGGAACTCTGTTTCATGCATCTCACACTACTAACGTTTCTTATTATCTTGTTGGTTAGTATTGTACCTTTTTCCAATTTACACGTTCTTTTCACTGACAAGTAGTATTAAAACAACAGCTTCTGTTTGGTGGTAACTGCAGGATCTCTGAGAGTATATCTGAGGGTCCCACCACGTGATTGCGGTGTTCAACACGAAGTACAATCTTTGCAATCGGTGAAATTTGATTTTCTGAATTACTTGCTACTGTTTTCCGTTGACGTTTTGGTCACCGTATATTATCCAAAGTATTGTGGAGTGTTGTTTCTTTGCGATATTTAAAGTTACTTTTGTTTCGCATAATATTAGGTTGAACACTAACTTTTGCAACTTGTTTCATAACATCACTCTCATTCAACATGGCGCACCTAAACTTTGGCATCATGTAGAATGCAATGTGAGCTACAAGTAAGCACAAATTGTCTGAATTTTGAACACAAAATAGAAAAGTTTCAGGCATTTTTCGAAAACTAGTAAAACTTGAGAATTTTTGAGGTTTTAAGCTAAAATGAAGCCTTTGGCAGCCTAGACCATGCGCAGTAATCCGGATTCGTCTACAAATTATTGCAAGAGGTTGACTCCTTTGGCCTAGCAAGAAAGAAACAAAATTTATGGGCATGTCGAGATTTAGCGTCCTCATAAAGTCGAACGAGTCGATGTACGCAAGAGCTGCTGGGGACGACCGTCAATGACTAAAGAGTCCGAAGCTCAAATTCCGCCGAGACTTCACATAGTAAGGTTATTTGACCTGCCGAATGCGAATATCATATTCATTTGTTGAATCAACGCCTTTTTCCTTGTTTAGGGTGAGACCCCATATCGTACACCTACATTAATCCTACAAAAAAGCCCTTATCACGCAATTTCACTATCTTTCGTGATCAGCATGTCGGATAACATCCCTATGCCAAGTTTCAGCCAAATCCGTCAAACTTTGAATTTTTCCCCTTCATACCATACACCTACTGTAACCCTCACTGCGACGTCAGAATTTGGTAGGACAGCAGCTGCGCCTGTAGTATACATAATAACCAACACAGTGGCAAAATTTGAGTGCGCCATGTTGAGTGAGAGGGAAGTTATGAGAAAAGTTGCAAAACTTAGTGTTCAACCTAATACTTGTCCTTTCAAGCGATTGATTTAACTAATACTGCAGCCACAGTAAAGATGGAAAATATGAATCACTACGAAACCTCAAGATGTGATGGAAGACTAAGCGCTGCGGCTTCCCCTCGCCTTTTTTTCTTCGAAATTTATGTGTGACAGCTAAAAACCTTTATCTTTGCAACATTGTGGTCGTCCAATCATGCTAGTTTGGAGAAAATTGACGTATTTGAACTACAAAATCAGCAAAATCAACAAAACTATCAGAATTTCCAATGTGTTGATAAGATAACTCGTTCTATCAGTCTACTAACTTAATACCTTGGAAAGACTTAACTTTCAATACTAAATATTAGGTTGGTGCAAAAGTAATGCGCGTTTTTATTTTCTTGCTTTGACAAAGCAAGCAGACTCAACCCAACAAAGGGTAAGGGGTATTGTTCGATAGAGCAAAGCAAGCTCTACAAGATGGCACTCATGCCTTTGCGCCATGCTCGATCCGCGGAGAGTACGAACTCAAAATCTAAAGATTTCCAAATGCCCAAAAAATCGAAAAAAATCAGATCTTCGTCCAGATAATTTCTACGGACCTCCCACTCGCTCACATCAATACTATCGATACCTGATATCCATATGTGCGATTGCCGTATTTTTTCCTTGACTAGAAACTGAGAAAACGAAAATTTCCCTGATTTTCCCAAAGCAACGCTGAGCCGTTTTTACATATGTAGTTCTATAGTACAAGCCTAGGTAAGCATAACTGTAGATTTTCAGCCCATTCCAAGCGGTAGTTTTCGAAAAATAACGAATTCGGATTTTTTCGTTTCAGTTTTAGTGCTAAAATCGACATTTCTCGAAAAGTACCGCTCGAAATAGGCTGAAAAACTACAGTTGTGCTTACCTAGGCTTGTACTATAGAACTACATATGTAAAAACGGCTCAGCATTGCTTTGAGAAAATCAGGGAAATTTTCGTTTTCTCAGTTTCTAGTCAAGCAAAAAATACGGCAATCGCACATATGGATATCAGGTATCGATAGCATTGATGTGAGCGAGTGGGAGGTCCGTAGAAATTATCTGGACGAAGATCTGATTTTTTTCGATTTTTTGGGCATTTGGAAATCTTTAGATTTTGAGTTCGTACTCTCCGCGGATCGAGCATGGCGCAAAGGCATGAGTGCCATGTTGTAGAGCTTGCTTTGCTCTATCGAACAATACCCCTTACCCTTTGTTGGGTTGAGTCTGCTTGCTTTGTCAAAGCAAGAAAATAAAAACGCGCATTACTTTTGCACCAACCTAATACATTACCACTCTAAAATGATAGGTAACAAAATACTTTTCTTATCAATGGAGTCTACACTTCGATTGACAAGCGCTGTTGCATTTCATCGTAGGCAACCTCTGTGGATAATCAGCATCCCAAGGTTGATGATTTTTCATAACAATTCAAGATGTTTTCCTGTCTTGCGGTACAGCAAAGCCACATGCATTATAGTTTGAATGTTCATTAAAACCTGAGATCAACAAGCATATGTACATGATACGTGAACGTGGCTAACAACGTAATATGTAGCAAAGCTTCTTTGGTTTCTTCCCTACTTCTCTGCAAGTAAATATCATTTTCAGTCCTTGCCACCTGCAACGACAGCCTTATAACAAAACTGCAGAGCTGTTATGTTTGAGCTTACCTTCCATATATAAATGGATTTATGACACTATTCATAACGACGAGGAATGCTAAAGGAAACATTGCATCTTGATAGTCGCGATAAGTGTCGAACGAAATTACCATCCACCTTAAAAAAGATGAGTTGAGATTGTCTGAAGTTGTTTTACCTATTTGAGTTTAACTTACCATGAAAGGAGATTGTTCGGTAACCATGTGACTACATAGACAATTATGAGCAAAAGTGTAATCCGTAGTGAGCGTACTTTCGCTCTGCGCAATTTGTCTTGGCCACGAGTAGCCCTACTATTCAAAGACACTAAAAAACGAAGATTAGTTCGTGGGTGATTACATTGGGGACTGCCTTATACCAGCGCTCTCTTTTTCTTTCCTGGCCCATCGTTTACTAGTTGAAAGTTTACTGAGCTCCGAAATGTATAAAGCTGAGGATCTTTCTGGTTCAGTAGCGTTTAGGGTTCTGTAGATGTCCTCAAACATGAGCAATCTACCGAACAAACGAAAATGTTTGAAAAAATCATCATCAACTGACCTTTAGAATCAACACATAACAGGCGACAAGTATTACTAGTGGAATGTAAAAAGTGATGAAGGCATTTTGTATCCCGTAAAGTTTCATCAGCTGAAAATCCGTTTCTGTCATTGAGGTCTGATTTGCTTCATCGACTAGATTTAGCTTTTCCGTCCACATGGTAACACATTGACGGAAGTTTCCAAAGTTCACCTAAAAAACTTGGAAACTGACATTTTTCTTACAACAAAATTACCTATATGTATACCTCGCGCCAAACATAGAACTGCGGTAGCATTGAGAGAACTGCTGTGCCCCAAGCTATTATGAGCATACGAAAGATGCGACCGTTGCCTATAGAAGAAATCCAAAATGGATGACGGAGGGCATAAAGTCGATATAATGCAATGCAGACCATGATATTTGAGCTGAAACGGAAACTTGAGTTGTGACATCTGTCTAGAACTCTGGAAAAAGTTCTCCCGAGTTTGACTATATTTACACAAACATAATGAATCGTCCAGACGATTCAACCAAGGGTAGAGGACAATAGAGGCCAAATGAATTAACATCCCCGCCGGGGAGAGGATCGCAGCTCAAAAGAAAGCTTTATACAGGGTGTCCCAAAAAAATGTGCCTACTGTTTGATTGTAAATAACTCTCTTATAATGAAGTGTTTCAAGAAGCTTTAGGTACCGTTTTGTAAAGCGAGGTCAAACTTAGACTTACTGTATAGAGCGAATCATCCATCACTCTTCATTACTGTAGGATTACGGTACGAACTTCAACAAGGATTTTACGCCTTTGGAGGCTATTATCTGCCTCGGAACGGAACCAAACAAGCTAAAAACTCTTCTACTACGATAATGGGAGCCGCTGATTTCCAATATGAAGTTTCCACTTTACCACGATGCTTCTTTCCAAAGTTATCCCCGGTAAATCGTAATAACTCAATTCCCAGCATTTGTCAGAAATGTAATTACCCCGTCAGAAAAGCTGAAAACACTCGTAAAAAGTTGTTAGGAGAAATCAGCATGCGCGAAAACCCTAGTATACAATTTTGCAGATTTTTTGGAAGAAAATTTTGTTAGGTGCTATACTTCACCATGGTTCCATATGCTGGAAGTTTGTACCGTAATCCTACAGTAATGAACAGAGATAGATGATTCGCTCCATACTGTAAATCTAAGTTTAACCTCGCCCTACAGAATGGTACTTAAGGCTTCTCAGAACACTTCATTACATCAGAGTTATTTACAATTAAACAGTAGGCACATTTTTTTGGGACACCCTGTATTTCAAAGCTCCGAATATCTAGAATTTACGCCTATAACCGATCCTCAGGTATACTCACCATCCTTCACTTTTGACATATTAGACAGGGATAAAGCCGACCTCCTTTTCTTCAAAGTCTTCAAAGTTAACGAAAGCCTTCCGAAGTGCTGCTGTTCGTCTAGCAACAATGCATGTTGCTGATAAGAACAAATAAGTTTTTAAAATATCGGATTTTTCGATAAACCCCAATTTTCGACTTGAGGTTCATCGCAAATTTCATGAACCCTAAACATCATTCGTTCTTATTAACAACACGAGGAAATGGTCAGAACTTAAGCCAGCCATTCCAAGCAATCTGTATATCATTGGACTCGTCTTACGCTGATTTCAGATAGTTGTTTTTTATTTGCCAAGCGACTATCTAGGGGTAGTTATGTGCGTTTGATTATGAGAAAATTTCGAAATTCCACGAATATATTTCCCCAAAAAATAGCCTGGTGGCGCGGCTTTACAGTGGCTACAGTTGCTTTAGCTACAAGGAGTAGGCATATTTACCAAAAACCTGAATAAGTGTTTTTGAAACCTTTTTCATGGTAAATGGGCCACGGAACACTCGACAATTCGCATATTTAAACGCTTATAACTCCTCCTAGATAGTCGCTTGGCAAATAACAAACATATATTTGTGATTAGCGTTTCAAGACGAGCCCGATAATGTACAGCAAATGTGGTATGGCTAGATTGATTGTGACCATTCCCTGCTTAGCACTGCTGGGTTTTAGATAATCTGTACAACTTTGGAACGTTATCGTTAACCTCGAAGAAAGAAAAATGACTTTAAAGAAAAGACGGATGGCCGCTGAGGATTATTAGGGGATCATACGAAAAGAAATACGCGGCTTGTACAGCTTCTCGCTCCTGTTCAATATGTTCATAGTGAAGGATGGTGGGAATACTTACGGATAGGCAGACAGCGTGAAATCCAGTCTGTATGGAGTCAGGATATAAACTTTTCCTTTTGAGTTGCGAACTCCACCCCGGCGGGGATACACCAAGACGCGTCTTGTTGCAGATTCCGGCCGGGGACTCCCCTAATGTCTTTCACTTGCAGGACGTGGTATACTGTCGTTGCGATACCGATCGAATTGTTGCGAAGAAGACGCGCCACTCCAAAAGCTGGTACAGACTGTACTTTCTCCGCTGCGATTTGCCATTCTAAACTATTCGTTTCTTTTTAATGCGTCGCATTTTATAATTACCATTAAAGGTTTTGAAACAATTGCAGCTGCAAAGGGAGTGGTGGAGCAAGCAAGCGAGGGTTTATGTATACTACTTATTGCCACTTATCGCTTTAGGCATTTTCGTCACTTACACCTGTTTGTGTTGCCTCGCTCAATATGTGCTCCCTGTATGGAAAATGTATTCATTTGATACTCTCCCAAACATATGTTGAATTTGCTTTGGCGTTTTCTGCCGTTATATGTTACAATTTAATTACCTATGTTTAGGGTACAATAATAAACGTGGTTATTCGTGCGATGTTGAATAGCAAGATTGTGCCAAACTTTTTATATTGAAAGTTACCAGTGCAAATATATAAAAAACTAGTTCTCAAAAGTCTGCAAGAATCAAAGACCGACTCAATATTGCAAATATCATATTACTCTTAATAGTTCTCAAGTTGGCAAAAAATGATTACACAATATTTTTATTCAGACATTGTCACTTGATTTGAAAAATAAACGTCATTGCCATTACCTGCAAAACAACGATGTTTCTTGGCACAGCTGAGTTTTCTCAACTGCAGTCGGCATTGGCACAGATGATCATAAAGAATGCGAAAAAAAGGTATGAAATTTCCGGACTATCGCTTTTGGCACTGGAACCTTCATTGTCACTGCGGCTTTTGATAATCTTCACTTAATGGTATGTGGCTTTATAATGGGTTGGCCCAAGATACTTGCATGAACATTACTAAAGTCTGTATAAATTAGAAAGGGAAGACCATGCTTTGTGACAGAAAATACGCCTTATCTTGATAGCAAATGGGATGAAAGATTACTCGATCTTTGCTGATGAGCGAGCTTGACAAACTTTTGATTATGAGACAGTCAGCAGTATAAGTTCTTTGATCTGCCTTTCAGGATCTTATAGGAAAGCTATCTAACTTAGCTCGGCCCTTTGGCAAGGGACATATACATTCTGAATCAGCTTCAAACGCTGATTCCAAATATGCTATTTCTAGCTGCCACGCACCATTCCGAAGCGAGCTATGGGCTTTTTCCTGCGTAAAGTTGGCATGCTCATGACTAACGGGCATCACGTCATCACCATTCAAATGCTGATACATCTGCGTTAAGTTTTTTCAATGAGAAGGGATTGGTTTTGTACTGATTCGATACCTCAGCACTCTTGCAGATTTTCATCTACAGGCAGTCTCCTCATGTTCAGTAGAATGCCAATTTGCGTGAGAAAAAGCCCATAACTCGCTTTAGAATGGTGGCTAGAAATAGCATGTTTGGAACAGCGTTTGAAGCTGATTCAGAATATATATGCCTTTTACCAAAAGGCCGAGCTATATTAGTTAGCTTTCCTTATTAGATCATTTTATTATGATCTGCCTCTCTGATCAATCAATGTGCAAGTCGCGCATTTTTATAAGACTATTGAAAAAAAACAATAGAAACGGAAAAGTCCAACTTTTTTTCTAAAAGCTTTTACTCGTTTGAGTTCGACCAACACAAATTCCGCGCAAAGAATAGAGTATAAGATTAACGCTACTACTTGTGACGCATCATTTCTGGCTCTCATAAAGTGATCAATCTTATAATTATCCTCTTTCGCGTATTTCCCTGCAGATTTTTGCAAATAATGAGAGTGAGCTCTTGGACTAAATTTGACGCGGCTCCGAAATGCGAGCTCTCTTAGGCTGCGTTCATACTGATCCCGAAGTCTGGGAACAGTTCCAGCGCAATGCTCAGTTCGAGCGTGTGCTGGAACTGTTACCGAACTTCCGAATCAGTATGAACGCAGCCTTAAAGTAGGAGGTTGGGAGCATTGTAACTGCCAACCTCCTACTTTTATCCGACGCTATCCGGCGACGATTACGGTACTTTTTCACGCTTGCCGCAATCTCCGGCCCTCCCTTGCCTCGGCGTTTTCAGCCAAAATGCTATATATAGCGGCAGCGCCTCATTTCAGCGTCTGGCTTTCGTTTTCGATCGATAATCTTTTCTTTCCATTATGCTCCTGCCTGGCATTTAGCTCCCGCCCCTTCAATGTCACTTTCGCAGTCGCGGTTAAGTGTATCGAAATTCGTTAGATTAAGATTCAAGTCGGATGGAATTAATTTCGGATAAGCCACTTTTGGAAAGTTTGGAATTTAGGATATTAAGATCCTATGAACCTTGATAGGGAAGAGGCTGTCATTCGGCGACGCGTGGCGGATCTGTATAGGTGAAAGCTCGGGGGCACATTTATTATTGTATTTATGGACGCGCACCATCGGTAGAACGGGACGGGGCACCCTGTCTCATATTAGGGTTTATTTTAACTAGTGGTTGATGAGTTATTTTAGTATTGTGATTGTTTGTTTTCCTTTGTGTCATAAGGGTACTCGTTGATAATTTTTCATTGTTCCTTCACGCGCTCTGAAGGGTAGGCTAAATGCGTAGTAAATGTAAGTGAGCGAGCGCACTAGGTACCTCGGTTAGCAACTACAGAGCTTATCCATTGCGGTGTCGGGGTGCACCAGCATCTCCACCCCGCGCGGGGCTCTGCACCTCTTCCGCTAACATGCTCTCTAATTATATTCAATCGAATAAAGCTCTGCTTTTCCCAAGCTGTATAATTAACTTTTCCCGAACATGGTGTTTGATCGCTTTCCCACCGCTTCGTACGCTCGCGATGGAAAGCGATTAAAAAGCATGTTCGCGAGAAGGTGTAAGTCCAGGCGAAGCGGCCGCGCGGGAGCGGGAATGCTAGTGCGCCTGACACTGCAGTTGATATGCGCTGTAGGTGAGCCGCCACAAATCCCATGTACATAAAAAGACTTAATAAATTGTCTTTTTTTGAAAGCTTGCAAAATTCGGCGAAAAAGATTGCCACATCGTTTTTTGCTTGGATACCTTGAATAGTAAAAGCTTCCGAAGCAACTACCTTATCGCTAATACAAATGCGTCGAAGAATCTCATGACTTTGCAGAGATAAGCGCCTCCTTTCCACTCCAAAGTGACCAGCCATCCAATTAATCCCGGCACATAGACTCCTAGCACCTGAGAAGAGATTATCAAAAAGTTTTAAGAGATTCTGTTGTTGAAATCTTGTTGAAACTCACCAACAAATCTGATATATTGAGATTAATGTGCAATAGCAACAAGAAGCTCTTTGTATGACGATATCGTCTAAGCATGTAGAGTAGCGTTGATATATTTACAGGTAGTCCTACAGCCATGAATGTTAAAAATAACATAATCTGCACATAATCGGAGGCCTCATGGCGCATCTGAACGGAATCTGGCGACGTTGAGTTATTCATCGACCGTACAGCACTGAAAATGAAGTTTTGACTTGTGCATGAAGAAAAGTGGACATCGAATTTTTTGGAGCAGAACAGATATTGGTCACAAAGAGCTGACTGTCACACTTTGGTATTAACGGCATGAATTTGGACGCAGATCAGTAGTATAAACAACCATTTAACAAAACAAAGAAATGTAAAAACAAGGAAAAGCGCGGGAGGAATTTGAAACGGGAACGGGAACGGCTGAAGGGTGAAGAATTTTCGAGTTGAGTTATCTTTGAATGAAACAGTGAGAATTAGGGGAAGGAGGGAGGAAAAGAGAGATTAGTGAATGCTTGTCTCTAGTACAAGTGTTATTTGAGTATTTGATGAGTGGAATCGAACGTTAGATAATGATTGAATTACCGAGAAGGGCAAAAATTATTTTTGAAAGTGAATGCAAATGAGAGTGAAAGATGATTTGATTGAATCTACTAGTGATTCGTTTTACGATAAAAAATAGGCGCAGTTGAGATGACTCGTCATAAAAAAAGTGTGTTTCGCCGAGACTAGCCTTTAGATCTCTAGTTTAATTGACGAAGCTGAGCTTCAGTAATAACTTTTGAAACTTCTCGGTTTTCTTTCGTGATCGTTCTCTGAGCAAGCATATCAATAAGATATAATGCGCAAGTACCTCAAAAACTGAATATATAGAGGACCAACTAAACATTTTGATAAGCGACAGAAGAGATGTTAACCAGTATAGTATGGAGGTGTTTACATGGGCATATTAAAAGCAATAAGATTTGCGTCATGCTATGCCGCGTTCTTACCAGCCACTTCAATTACTTGAATGGATTATAACAGCTACCAAAAAACGAAGCAGTGCATATGGAGAGGATGTAATGAATTTTTTCGATCTAAAAATATCACGTAAAGATTTTCAGATAGCAGCGACAATATTGAAAGATGTTTTAGTACTTCATTTGTACAACACATGCGAAAGCACTGTTAAAAGCGCAAAAGAAGCAAAAGAGATGAAGGATTAGTAAGATTTCAAGTGGCATAGCACTGTATAGCTAAAATGAAAGTAGGATTTCTTCTGGAAAAATTTCGAATGCCTCGTGATTTAATTGAAGAATCTGATGGTTGTGCATGCATGCTAACTTCATTTGAGATCGGAATAAAATCACTGCAGCTGCTGCACTGGGTGGCAACGAATTCTGCAGAATTATGCTTCAAGCCTGATGGAAGGCAAAAAGGAAGCAATAAAAGTAAGTTGAGACCAACTGAGTAGTTGTTATTAATTTTAGCAGTTTCAAGGTTTTTAAATTCTCAAAACGCAAAAAGAGACCCTACTATACTACCATATGTCTCACAACAGACGCTTTATGTAATACTAGAGTGCGTGAGAGCACATAAATCAATATCTTCGAATGATTAAACAACAATTAAAGTTACGAAATAAGTTTCTTTTTTACAGCAATATTTTAATCTGCTAATGACTTTTCTGTGAACTCTTTCAACTACATTACTCAAATCAATAACTACATCTTGGACTGAATAACCAAGTTAGGCACCTTCAAAAATTTGTATATCTTGTGTACAAGCAATCAATCACAATCAAATCAGACATAAACAGTCCTATCGAGTCTTTTTTCAAATTCAGAAGGGAATAGCAATTGATCTGTCGCATCAATTTTTTCAAGCTTCACGTTTTGTGACCTGAAGAAGTTCTTGAAAAGACACTTTTCTTGTAAGAGTTGTATTAAGCGAAAACATAAGTCAAAGGCCTAAGGCATACCTCACGCGATTCGGCTGCGCCATTTTCACGCGACTTGGCGATTTGCCAGATTTATAAAATTTATCGTGCGCACTTCTCGGACACATATTTGGGTAGCTTGTGTAAGTTGTTGCAAACCGAGCAAGTTCTGACCAAAGGCAACGCATTAACGACGATTTACGAAGAGTCGGTGTTGTGCCGAATCGCGCAGCGACCGAACTGCGCGAGGTATGCTAGGCCAAAGAAATGAGATTGACGACATCATCATTAAACTTTAATCTGCATTATCTGATTTGCTAGTCTTAGTGAAACAGAAAATTTCCTTGTTGCCATTTTCTATACACGATGTCCCAAAGAAATATGTACACTGCTTAATCGTTGATATCTTCTTGCCTTGAGATCTTTGGGATACATATGGATATCCTTCCGTATAAATGGCCACAACCTAGATTCTCAGTTTAAGAGTATCCTTTTCTTTTGTAGAATTACGACAGAGCGTTTTGAGTTAGGGAGAGCTGCACGCAGAGGCTGCGAATGCTGCAAATTTTTACTATAATCCTACAGTAATGAATAGCATTGAATGATTTGCACCATACTGTAAATCTGAGTTGAACTGCTCTACTCGAGAATACTTAAGGATTAACGAAAAATTTTGGAACATTAATATCAACGATCAAACAATGTGCGCACTTTTTTGGGAACATACTGGGTGTGATGAGTTATGCGCAGTTCATGTGACTCTAGGAAACAGAGCGAAAAAGAAGATGTGTTATTCCTCGGCTAAAGCGAAACGAATGAAATACCTTTAAAGAGAAGATGACTTAAACATACAGTTTACCTTGATAACTTCCACATATCTCCCTGAGGGGTAGTCATGGTACAGTACGTATGGTACAAATTTATGATATTTAAAATAGATTGTATGTAGAGCAGAAGTGCAATACAAAACATTTTCGTCATATAAATAACGAGAATCAAGATTTGTATCTATTTGTAAGGGTACGATTATTTGAGTGCTGATGTTTTCCGTAAACAATAACAGAGTTTTTACGTTGTGATATTCTCTAATGTCAGGAAGGCTTCCATAAAAAAAAAGAATGTGTGGGCATATGTCAGGTAGAAACTCACATGAAAAACGAATAAGTAATCTCACGCTATTAGGAACTCCACTTTTATCGATACAAGAATCTCTAGAAAAAAGAGATGATTTTGTTGAAATGTCGGTAGTGAATGTCCTAAAATCTTATTCTTTACCCACGTACAGATTGAGGTTATCCGCCTTGTACTTACGCAGCTTAAAATACAGAAGAGTATTTAATGACTTGGTATTTGCTTTCCGCATAATACATTTAGAAACAAGATTAAGAGCAAGTATATTTTGGATATTTAGGCATTGCGGAACTCGTACAGGTAGGCTGAATGTGCGCTATCGCAGATTAAATGACAGAAACCTTTCAATAGTGTAAGGCCGATATATTATTCATCGTGCAGCGGGGTCTCTATTTTCGCTATAGTCTATATCATTCAGCCTTAACCCATTATCATAAATTTTCATGTCGCAGTTCCGAGGCGTGGCCGGAGAAAGTCCCAATGACAATAAAATGTTGCAATCTTGGTTTTTTGTACTACCGAACTAGAACGCCACAAATAACTAGTCGGGATCTAGCCACGTTGAAACGCCGCCAATATATCTGCATCTGCACCGTCTCCCAACAACCATTTATTCCCAGCTCAGAGAACACATACACACTCTCACTACATAACTCATCCCCGCTCTATGACCTTGCGTCATAGACAAAATCAATCAAGATAGTGAAAATTACAGATAACACGCGTGAAAGTAAAAGGATTGTTCATAGGAATAAAGAGGTCACAAGGGCGACTGACGGGCCTCCGAAGAGGAGGCCCTCATGAGGAAAGATGAGGAAATAAGAAGTAACAATTAAAGACAAAGCTTATACTATACTACTCTGATACAACAAATTCTGTGATGCTTATATACTGCTTTACCGGGCGACCGGGCGCTACAAGTTCTTTTACTTCTCTTCTCCAAATTTCCTTTCTGTCGTCCGCCATTAATTGTCTAACAAAGGCATGAGTAATCTCTGGAAGCCACTTCTTCCTTCCTTCCGGTACCATTGTTACTACAACTTCTAAGAAGCAATTAGTTTTTCCTCCTTTACAGTCGGGCGCATGATCGAGGCTTCCAAGTACGATCAAAAGCGTTTCGTGCATAATCGAAAGTTACCCTACAATAGCCTTCAATTCTTTTGTATGCCGAACGTCAAGGTGGCTCAATCTCTTACCGAAAGAGATTACTTTCAGTGAAAACTCCTTGGTTTTTCGCAAGAGATTGGCCCAGATTGTTGTTCTACAAACCTTGAATATTGCAGACTTTTAGAGCTGTTTCAACTGTCTACATCATCACCGCTGGTCAAATCGAGCTCAGACTATAAGTGCATCCTCCTGGTCCTGTTCAAGCGATACATTGCAAAGTTGGAGTGTTCTCTTCGTTCTCTGTTGTGTGTTTTTTTGGGTTTTTTTATTGTTTCTTTTGCTGTCTTTGATCTGTCTACGGCTTTTTGTTATCACGGTTTCTGTAGTGCTCGCGGTCTCTTCTACAGGAATAGCCGTTCGAGGAATTCAAGGTTCGGTGACCATTTTACCTTGAGGTTTCCCCCCCCCCCTTGTCCATTCGCCCAGAGTCCCTTCGCCTCTTGCTAGGGTTAAGTTGGTTAACCAGGCCCTGGTGCACTGCTACAAACATGCGTCTGGATAGAAGACAAGGATGTCGGTTAATGGCTTCTCATGTTCTGTAGAAGGAAAACGACCTGACCACCTATGCAAGAAACATTTCCTTCTCTACTTCTTCTGCAGAAACCAGTTAAGCCAGCAACAGTGCACTTCTCATTTTTATTTACATCTTTGGCGCACCTGTGAGTGCATGAATTAAAAAAATCAAAAAAAAATGCGGCAAAATGAATACTCTCAAACCTTTAGAGCCTGATTTCATTGAAACGGTGTTGATAAGTTCTAAGAATGTTTCTCATAAACTAAAAACTGTTTGGATTCATTTCATGATGGGCAGTAATTCAATATAACAAAGCAAAATGATCAATACAGAAAAAAACTTGTGGAAGGAAAGAAAGATTGTACTAATATTATTGCCTAAAAATATTGTTTATCATTTGCTACAAAGAGATTTCGTTTCAATTTAATTAGAAAGTCATTTATTCTATAAAGGACG